TGAGGGAGACCCCCCACCGCCCGGGACCCCAGCACCAGCGCCAACGCCAGGCCCAACCACAAAGTCCGCACGCACTCCATCCCTAAGTTGCCACTGTGCGCGGGGAAGGAGGGACACCTGGGCCAGCCCGCTCCCGTCCTTCCTGCGGGTCCTGGCGTCCACTGAAGGAGGAGCTGGGCTGCTGCCTGAGTTTGCTGTGGCTGGCAGGGCAGGGTTGGGTGATGCCTCCCCGAGCAGTCTCTACGGCTCAATACTGTGTACACCCTGGGGGAAACCGAGGCAGGTACATCTGGTGGAAATCTGTGAGGTAGATCTGCCCTCCAGTCCTGGCAACAATCTTGAATCACAAACTTAAAAAAAAAAAAAAAAGATAAAGTACCTGTATTTACATCTTGGATTTGAGAGACAGCTTTTGGGGGTCTGTCTCTCCGGATCGAAGTGGAGTTCTTAGATTTGGCAGCAATTGTCTTCACCCACCAAGCCATCTTGTTGGTTTTTGTTCTCTTTTAAAATATTTATTATTATTGGCGCTTGCCTTTAATTCCAGCACTTGGGAGGCTGAGGCAGGCAGATCTCTGAGTCTGAGGCCAGCCTGATCTATAGAGTTCCAGGACAGCACAGCCAGGGCTACACAGAGAACCCCTGTCTCAAAAAACAAAACAAAACAAAGCAAAAATATTAATAGTAGTAGTTTTTTTATTATTTTGAGAGGGTTTCTTTTCGTTTTGGTTTTTGTTTTTCGTGGCAGGGTTTCTCTGTGGCTTTGGAGACTGTCCTGGAACTAGTTCTTGTAGACCAGGCTGGTTTTGAACTCACAGAGATCCTCCTGCCTCTGCCTCTCGAGTGTTGGGATTAAAGGCGTGCGCCACCAACGCCCGGCTGAGAGGGTTTCATTACACAACCCTTACTAGTCTGGAACTCTGTATTTAGACCAGGCTGCCCTTGAACTCAAGATCCACCCAATTCTGTTTCCGGGGTATTTGGATTCGTTTTTTTTTTTTTTTTTTTTTTTTTTTTGGGGGGGGGGGGTGTCCTTGCATGTGAGGGCAGCGCTCTCAGGGACCACTGGGTCCCCTGGAGCTGGATATGAGCCACCCAGCATGGGTGCTTGGAACCAAAGTCAAGTTCTCTACAAAAGCATCTGAACTAACCAGAGCAATCGTCCTGTCCTCCAGAACTCATCTTTAACCTTCAAAACCCAATGTCAAATGTACTGCTGGGAAAAATCCAGAACACACACCACATGAGTCCCACAGACTCATTTTCCTATTGACTCATTTAGGGACTCCCTGGCCCCTCAGTTCAGAGAGGACAAGGGCAGATGCAGTTCAGTGGCTCCTGCCTCTCAGGGGCTTGCATAGGCCCCCCATAATCGCTTGAGCAATTGCTTACACTTCCTTCCTCACCATTCCAGAACTCTATAGTTCCCAGTTGTCTTCGTCCCCCAACTCAACTGACTCAGGGTCCAGTTGTCATCCCCTGAGTGTAGGCTGTAGGATCAGAGACCAAAGGCTTCCCCAGCCAGGAGGCTCCTGCTGGGAACTCTATGGTCTGTCCTCATAGGCAAGACCTCGGAAAATATGGCATTCTCCCAAGACTATGCTGGGCAGTGGCCTGCGGGAACACTCAGCCCTGATGAATGAATCTACTCCCCACCATCCTCATTCTCCTTGCAGAGCCAGCATTAAAGGGAAAACATCCATTAACCAAATAAAAATGTCAGCAAGACAGACTGCACCTTGAGCTGCCTTTTAATGAGATGGCTTGGCTCTGAGGATGGCAGGCAGTCTAGGCACCTGGCCAGGGCTACAGGGTACATCAGGTTAGGGGTCCTTCGGGGTTCCTGCCTGGGACCACCATACCACTTGGACACTCTCCCCAAGGCTGAAGTGCCACCAGCCTTATCCCTTTGGATGTTGCTAAAGTTCTCAGAAATCTGCCCTTGTCCATACTAGCTGGCACTCATTCTACAAACACTCCTGGATGTCGGTTGTTTGGTCCACTGAACACCAGGCAGCTGGAGTGCAGGCCTGTCAGGATTCAGCGTGGGGCCTCCCACTCCAGCTGAATGAAGACTCGCACACAAGACTTCTTTTTGGGTGTGGGTGGGAAGGATGCCTCACACAGTGTGAACTTATCCCCAAGAATCCTGTTCTGGCCATTTCATGTCAGTCTCCCACTGTGGCATTTTGTGCAGGGCTTTCTCATTGGGCATGTGTCCCCAAGGTCCCTCCACACTTCATGGATGGACCATGCTGCATCCATTTCTCTCCCATGGGCTGTGCTGCCCTTTGCTTCTACCCTGTCTCCCTCCTCGCACATGAGGATGTCTGTGGGGTCTTGGCCAAGGTTGCCCCACTGCTCTGAAGACTGGAATCATGTACCAGCCTGGTAATTATGATGGCTGAGTCCCAAGGACAATTCTTAGTCCTTATGACCCCCAAAGATCCAATCAGCTGGGGAAGATGAGGGAATAAATCTAAGAGCCCAGTGTGGGGCGCACGCTTGTCATCCAGGTGCTAGGGAGACTAGGCCAGCGGAATCCCTGTTGAGGCTAGCCTGGGCTAGTGGGCCTTTCAGTCCAGCCATAGCAGGTGAGCACCCAGTACGTGGCAATGCAAGGCTCCACGACACAAACATGCACTGATCCCAACCAGAATCCCAGGCAGGAAACCTCAGGTCACTTTCCTCACCTGTCTCAGGAAACCTCCAGAGGCCTCTGGTGTGCTGAGAACCCATGGTTGGTAGAGTCCCTATGTGCCTGCCTCTCCCCAAACCTCTCCCAAGGGAGCAGGAGCAGCTGGAACAAGCCAGGGAATGGAGGGAGGGTCAGGGTATCTGGGCCAAGAATGCAAACGAGCCAGCTCAGTGGGGAAACTGAGGAAAGATTCATGTCGTAGGAGGTTGTCGTTCCTCAGGGTATGGTCATGTCTTGCCACCAGCTGTCTGGGAGTGGGCAGAGGGCACAGCGGTAGGGGTTCCGGTGTGAGGCCAGCACTAGCACCAGCACCCACCGGAGCTGCGGCGGTGACAGCTCTGCTATATCACAGACTTTCTGGATCGTTAGGCAGAGTTGACGGTGGTTTTCTGGAAGGTTCTGTGGATGTTTGGGCTGAACTCCAGACTGGTTGGCAGCAGCCCCAGAACAGTAAGTATGTGGAGACTGAGCTCTGGACACCCACGTGGGGTTGGTCACTGCCTGGTTGGCCCCAGTGAGCAGGGACTGACTCTTCACGGTCAGCCCCCAAGCCACCCCACTCTACCCACGCCACAGGGTCCTCTAGCTCAGTATACACCGTGTCCCCTGGTGTAAGGCCTCCCGACCATGCCCCGCCCTGGCCCGAGGGACAGAACAGCCGAGTCATAAGCTCCTTTGTCCATTCATTGTTAGAACACCAGACCACAGACCAAAGGCAAGCGTTTCCCTGACAGCTGCCCCGCACACACGCACGCAAGCGTCACTTAGAGGGCCGCGTGATGATGCGCGTGGAGAAGTCGAAGAGGTCCCGGTTGATCTTGCGCAGGCTGCGCACCTCCTCCTCCAGCTCCAACACCCGCGCTGGCAACATCTGGTTGCCTAGCATGTTCTGTAGCAAGAGGGGCGTGTGGGCGGGGCTGCTCCTGCCCACCCACCA